CGTTCCGCAGCAATTTTCACTTTGCCCTGGTAGGGCATTTAATCAAGGTAAGTTCTGAGTAAATATACCGAATTATTATTTATAACTTGTATTATTATAGGGCTTCCGCCATCCTACACCCACAACTGTTTCCCGCACCTCTCGAGTGCTAACCATGCTGCTAGGCATTATTGCTAAGCCGCTTCATCGTGACAAGTTTGAAGTAACCCCCGAAAGTGTGGCCTATTTAACCGCTCTGGTGGCTGTTTCCGAAGAAGTCCGTTCCCGGTGTCATGTGAAGCACGCCCTGCCACGCTGGCCTGCTGATCTCAGTGGCAGTGTGGAAAATGGGGAAGCATCCAGTGGAGTGCAAGCCGTAAGTTTAAAAAAATGGAATTCAAATTATTTAAAATTGATCTGTCAAATATCCCCTCAGATTGGGTTGCCTCTTTCGCGTCGGCAAAAGAGTTGGGATATCCTAGATCAGTCCGCTCTGCAGTTCGCTCGCCAACACAAAGTTCCCACACTTCAGGTGAGCTCTTAAGATCGATTACACCGAGTTGTGTTCCCCACTCGTTCGAAATTCGCTGTGCAAAAGTTGTTATAACCATCTGCTATAGTAACTTTTGGCTATCTATTTGAGTTTATATATTCAAACCTATATAACCTATATATCCCACCTACTGTGTAATATCAACTATCTATCGAGATCAGCCGTTGCATAACTAATAATCGTTCAATGTTTTTTTTCTTTTCTCTTTTTATGTTTGATTTAAATATAAAATAAAAACGTTACATAAAAATCACAATGTATACTCGTTTATACCGTGTTTATGCCATAATCTGCCTGCCGAATCCTACATCTAATTGCTGCTTGTAACTCTCATAAATATCAATATTACTTATGAACTATAAACTGTAACTGCCACTTCTACTACTACTACGCATGAACATTGTTATTTAATTTACGTATGATTTTGTTATCGAAACCGGCTAAAACTGCAACTTCAACATCAACACTGTGACAAAACACATCAACCACCAACATTAAATTAAACTTCCGTAGAACGCGCGAGTTTTGTTTAAAACTCAACGCTCATTCTCGGTGCCGACAACCAAAGATCCGAACAATGCAACCGGCATCGAAGAACGTCAGGTATTGCTCAAACAAAGTTATCTCCTAGCTAAACTAACTCTACTACCCCACTAAATCCTAGTTATCTAAGCTCGTTACTAAATTCCACTAAAAAAATACCATTGATGTTTCGCTGTAATGTCATTTAGTTTGTTTACTCTGCATGGCACTGAATGAAGGTAGCCAAAAAGGCATCCTGTTCACCCCAAGGCCCACATGCACATTTTTTCGTAGATCTTCCATATTCACTAGTTTCTTTTAAACCATATCTGTGTGTATTTGGATGGCCCATTTTAATGTGAATGTGAATTAACACCTGTAAAATTAATTTAAACAGGAACGCGGGTCGCGTTCGTCAGTGTCCAACGAGTCGAATGTCCTACTAGATCCGGAGGTCTTGCCTGATTTGTCCATACAAGCCCTGGTGTTGACTGTTTTGGCCACTTTGGTGAAGTATTCGTCGGATGAGGGCGAAACGCGCGTTTTGTATCAGTATTTGGCTGAAGGATCTGTGGTATTTCCCAAAGTGTTTCCAGTTATGTAAGTATAAAATGTATAACGTATTTCAAAAAAGTTTAACAAGTAGTTTTTTTCAGCCATTCGCTGCTGGATCAGAAGATTAACAATATTTTGTCAGTGTCCCACGATCAAGTGGTGCTCAACTCTGTGCAGAACATTATACAAAACATGCTGGCCAGCGAAGATCCCTCCCAGCAGCAGCTTCACTTCCTTCAAAGCTGTGGTTTTGGCGGGCTTTGGCGATTTGCTGGACCCTTCACCAAAGTGGGTCCATAAATACATGCTAAACCATATATAGTTATAAAATGAAATGTATTTGCAGTATAATATGATGGGTGAATCCTCGGAGCTGTTTGTCAACTGTTTGGAAGCCATGGTTGAGACCTGTTTGCCAGGAGATGAATCCGCCCCGGTGCCACCCTCACCACGTCCCTATAACCTAAGCTCCAGCCTGAGTAGCCTGACTCTAGGCTCCCCCACGGACAAAGGTTAGTATTCAGTAGATTTCCGTAAGCTTTTGCTCAAACCACAAATGACTTAATGCATTGCTTTAATCTAGAGCGCTTACTTTTCAATAGCAGTCCCCATTAAACTAACACATAGTTGTACAAACAGTATTTACCTAAACTTAACCTTTTCTTTATATCACACCAATTGCGATATATAGCATTCTCATCGGAATCATTAGATTTTTATGACAATTGCCCAGGCAGCGTCAGCAGTCTGCGACGCGCCTCACACAGCAAATCACGCGCCAAACATCGAATTAACGACAGTCCATCACATTGAACGTTCCACAAGTAAAATAAAAAACTATTAAAACATTAACTAAAGGCAAATTAAAAATAGCCACAGAATAACACCATGATTGGAAACAAATATGTATTTCGTAGTTAACTAAGCTATGTCAAATAGAACTATTGTCCAAACACCTACAACGATTTGTCATTTGTGTAATTACGTATAATATGCAAAATGTCAAACACAAAACTAAAGCCTAACGAAAACCCAGAAAATAATGCACCTAATCGTTTACACATTAGCAAATTGATGTTCGAGATTTGATAATTATATTGATGATATATCGGTACCTTAAAGCATTTACAAAATATTTTCGAAATCATGTGGGTAAATTAAATGCACCTTTGGTAGCGTAGTGTTGTATTGCCAAACATATTTATTGTTCAAAATTTAAAAGAAATGAGAAATATAATTCTTTATTGTTACAGAGAACCAATATATTTCTATAAATGCATGCCAATAACATTTCAACATATTCCAATTTTAAAATTATAAAACTGTACACGATTCAGTTTCCATTAGCTCCTAACTTTGCTAAGATCAAAAAAACAAAGAAAATACATCCAGATTTTATATATTTTCATTAATAGCTACATTTTATACAAGCAAAAAGATAATAGAAGTATAATTCAAGAAAAATTATTTAGCTTCAACGCTTTGTTGCCCAAATTTTCCTTTCACCCCAAATACTCCTTCCCTCAATATGTTTATGCAACTTTTGTCTTACTTTCAGCTGCATGAATAACAACTACAAACCCGCGCACTAGACGTACCACACTAATCTCAAAAGTAATGCGTTTCCTAAATCTGTTTAAAAAGTGCTTTTAGAGAACGTGAAAACCCCCACAGAATGTCGTACAAAATCATAGAATATTTATATATTGGTATATGTATGTATAGATTGTCCAAATGGGATGTCTACAAAATGCGAAAAAAGGAAATGAACGCGTGAATCGATATATGTAAAAATGAATGTATATAAGTGTATGTGTAGAAAGGAGTGGATAAGGGATATGGTAACTATAGAAGAAGATATCGAACGAAAATATTTTTAAACGATAAACGATTGTACATTTTAATGTTTGCAATCCGCAACTGCAACTAAACACACCAAGTCCACCAGTTCCTGAGAAGATAACCACGACCAGGCGAAAGAGTTAACCACGAAAGCGAGTAAAGGCAAAATCAAACGAAACGAATACAAGAATAACTCAAAGCTTTAAGAAAGCGGCATGTTTCACGTGTCGTCAACATTATTTTGTATTATTAAAGAATCTCCCGAAGCAAATGTATCAGATGGCATTTATTTTGTTTATTCTTATTAATTTTATTTTTTTAACCAAGTTCATCTCTCATTAGTCCTTACTAATTTATTTCATCACAATATACTTCAAAAAAATTCTAAAACACCAAAAACTAAACGATGATAAGCTTAAAACGACCCAGTCCGCTTTAAATATAATTTAGTTTTAAGCACAAACCAAGATTTTAATCGAAATAGAGTTTATAAGGAAACAGAATCGAACCAAAATAAAACCTTACGAACGTTACACATTTGTACCTCTTATTAAACAATAAACGCAACAAATTAGTCCGCTACACTACTTTCCAGCACATGGATTTTAAACTGTATTTGGCGTTATCCGTATTAAACAATATTTTTTTTTAGCTAGATGAGCGAAAATGGAACAGGATTCTAAGCATTATTATTAATATAAATGTATATGTGTGTGTTGCTATATGTGTATTAAATATGTATCTTTGTATATTACAGCCTCTTGAAGATATTTATGAAATGTTAATGTCCCAAATTTATCAGTGTACAAGAATATTGAACAAATTAAAATACTTTCAATTAAAACGTTTAATGAAAATATGCACTTTTGTTTTACTGGGATCCGCATCTAGCGGAATGTTCAAAAACTCTTGGGGGAAAACGTTTCTAATTTGCATTGCCATTTTTAAATAAATAGAATTACTATCTTCTATCTAGTTACGGCAATCAACTTGGTTTAACTGTTATACTGGCTACTCCGATCCTTTCTTAGTCGCAAAAAAGGAAATCCTTGCTTTTAGGCTTCTTGATTGTGCAAAAACATATTATAATGTATTGTAAGATCTCTGATTACTATTAATTTAAACATATTTCAACTGCCAGCAGATTCAAGAATTTCAAAACCCCAACAAACTTAATAGGATGATTCATCATTGTCAGTTTATCCCTCTTTTTAAATCTTCCATCCACGCAAATTGGCGCAATTTGAAATCTTTGTTTTTGCATATGGCTGTCTTTCTTCAGTCATCCCAAAACCCATATCAAAACATGGCTACGCTGATGATCTCAGAAACCTCCCCCACGAAGAAAAACGCAAATGAAATGTACGAAATCAGTGCCATCAGATGTCAACGATGTCGCTGGTGCCGTTTTCTGTTTGTTAACTTCTCGATTTCATGGCTGCGATTCCAGCGACCCCTGGTCTTGAACTGGAACTCACCCTCGGGCAGGTGGATTTCGTCAATGGCCCAATCCCAAAACCCAATCTCGCCGAAATGCGCCAAACAAGTGTCACAGCTGACCGAGGCCGAGAAGCCGAGAGCAGGAGTGCGGCACAATCCCAATACTTGTGGGAATGCCTCCAGCAAACTTTCTCACGATGCACATGCACCGGCTGCTTGCCTGGGTGGTGCTATTCCGATTGCCGATCCAGTGGTGGTGGTTGCTGCGGTGGTTGCCCGTAAGTGTAACGCAATGTCGCGCCAAAGAGGAAATGAGGTCTGTGTGACTGTGCGCCAAAAGGGAAGACCCACACTGAAAGAAAATTCTATACTTTCAACAGCAGCAAAAATGAAGACAAGTCAGGCTTCGATTTCTTAACCCAATCTTAGGAAGTCTTTGACCATTAATATTTATTTGGTTTAATTCATTACTTTTATTGCATTAAAAATCAAAACTTCTAAATTATATAAAAAAAGGTTTTTTTTAATATAATTTTTATTACTTTCAAAGCAAATATAAGTCTGAACTAAAAAATATTATTGAAACTAGAAAAAAATCAGAATCAAGAGAGCCTTTAAGTCTAACTTGTTTTTTTTGGCAATACAAAGTTAAAATACAGGTATAATCAATTTTAAAACTAGAGTTCTCCTCAACTTTGAGATAACCTTTCGGTTTATTTCTCTGCAATAATTAAAAATTTAAACTGTTCCCAAATTTGAGTCGAAGACAATATAGATCTCAAAAATGAAGTTGGGCTTTGTAGTCCCCCAGTCACTTTTCGCTCAGTGTCTCTGTACGCACACAAGCTGAAGCCCACACCCATGTGCAACAATGCCTTCGAATCGACGAGATTGGCTCTTTGGCTTAAGTGAGGACGGCACGCATGGGGCACGGCTCTCTTTTCTCGAGGGGAATGGGAAACTGGGAGCGGGAAGAGTGGCACGGATGGCTGGCAGGCAGGTCGAGGTCATGTCGATGTCGGGTGTGCGTTTGGTGCGCTGCTGGTGGTAGTGGCTGATTGCTCTGGCTCTCGTCTTTCCTCGGCTCTTCAGCGTGCTCCTCATCCCCGACCCTTCTTCTGACTGCTGCGCCGGCGCACGGCAACAGCACGCGGAAGAGAGACGCCCAAAGAGAGAGGCGCCCAAAGAACGTGTTATTCGGCCCTAGTCAATACACTTAAAATAACTAGAAGATGGTCTACTAATACTTTTTAGGTTTTTTACAACGCTGAAAAAGTTTAGTACTTAAAAATCATTGCATACTTACTTCGTCTGAATAAATAATACACAAATATGGGTGATATTTGATAATTAAAAACCATAGTTTTTGTCTTCAGGTCAAAAACATTTATTTATTTTTACAATATCTATTTATTTTATTTATTTTGATTATTTTATTTTAATTTGGAAGTTATATAATTTATTAAAATGTTTAAGAGATAAGAATATAAATTAAATTAATTATAGGATTCTTTCAATTAATTTCTAGGAAATCAATAATTATTTAAGAAAAATTTGTTTGGGCATTTTATAAAGTATCAATCCTTAATTTTTGTCACAAAATGAAATAATTATTTCCTGTGCAATAAGAGAGAGCCACATCGGCTTCCGCCCGATCGAAATTTTTGATATTGCACACGTGCAGCGCCGAGGGAATCTTGCCACAAGCAGAGAGTGACCCGATTGATGCTTCGTGGTGATCGTCGGCGTGGACGAGCGCTGTGATCGCAGTGCGTGGTGGCAGTTAGGGGAGGATTTCGATTTCGCAAGTGTACGGCACCGGCAGCTACGACGCTGTGTGGCAGCTACAAAAAGGATCAGCTTACCTTGCGGCAAGATCATTTCTCAAGTGACTACCGTGCAGTGCGGAGCAGCAGCAGCAGCAACATCGCAACTTTATTTACAAACAATTCTTCCACCAAAATACCATAATTATACACAATGGCCGTGCAGGGTCAGAGATTTATGACCAAGACTCAGCATTACCGCAAAGTGACCAAACCCCTCCTGGAGCGGAAGAGACGCGCCCGAATGAATCTCTATCTGGACGAGCTTAAGGACCTCATCGTGGACACAATGGATGCGCAGGGCGAGCAGGTCAGCAAGCTGGAAAAGGCGGACATCCTGGAGCTCACCGTCAACTATTTAAAGGCGCAGCAGCAGCAGAGGGTGGCCAATCCGCAATCCCCGCCAGCCAACCAGGTTAATTTGGATAAATTCCGCGCCGGATACACCCAGGCTGCCTACGAGGTCTCACACATATTCTCTACTGTACCCGGCTTGGATCTTAAGTTCGGCACCCACCTCATGAAGCAGTTGGGTCACCAGCTCAAGGACATGGAGCAGGAAGAAGATTGCACCGAAATGGTGGAGGAAGAACCAGTTAATCTATCAGATCAAAAACGCTCCAAGTCCCCCAAAGAAGAGGACATGCCTAATGGCGAAGATGTCTGGCGTCCCTGGTGAAGAGCATCCTAAAAATATGCAACCAATTAAAATTGATAGCTTTACTACTCTGTGTCATTGCGAAACGATCCAAGTTTTCCAAGGTCTAGTGTAAACATTTGCCTCAGAATCGTATTTAGTTGGTAGTTCAATTGATATGATGTGATGTTCCTGTGATAGTTTTTAAGTTCGTATTTTGTATTTGATCTCCCATAGGCCTAATGATTCATGTATTTAATTGATTATAATTTATTTTATCAACTTATCAAAGAGCTTCCCTACTTATCTTCCACTTAGTTTTATAAGGAAATATAATTTTATATGCTGTAAATTCGCATTTTTGCTTTACAACCGTTAGTCTAAGCCATGAAAGCATAACCAATAAAAATAATATAAACTGAAGTTTAAATAGTACAATATTTCTTGGTATGTTAATAGCGACGTGGGCTCTAAAATAGGGAACCCTCCACAAATGCATTCGGTCTGGTTTTCCAATTTGAAATAGTCGTATTGTCAAATGTTTTTTATTGCAGGTAATCGTTTCTTACAGGATTAAAGACACCATTTTAAATATAAATTCGTTTACATATTAATGTGCTAATATAAACACGATACTAATATATATTATATGGAATGAGAAATGATTTAAAGCTCGTTATTTAGGATAGAGATATAAAACTTAATAATTTAAATTTCATTTAACCCAATAAGCGAATAGATTTGCACATATGTATTTCTTTATCTTTGATGTTATTTATTAGAATAAATTTTTTTAAAAAAGTTTTTCTCATTTTACGAGCTGTAAGGAGTGACAATATTGTAACTTAGCCTTATAAAATTATAAATACATTCATCAACGGCAAATAATAACTAACTTATTAAAAATATAAATGATCTTTTTAAAGAACTTATTCCATATACACTTTACAAAGGTAAATAGGTTTTCCCAATTTAATAAAATTTATATATCACACCAAATCATACCATAGTTGTTCTTAATAAATCAAAATAAAAATTTAAAAGAAAAAAGTTCTCCCATTCGACAAAAGTTAGCAAAAGCAGAAACTCTAAAAAAAATAATTATTTTATGACTTTACTAAATAAATATCTGCTAAAACTTACACAACTTTCCTAAATTTAACCCCTGGAGTAGCTCTGATTGATGTCACTCTAGTTGAGACCCCACTCGTGTTACAACTCCTTGCCAAGCACCACCAACCATTGATTACAAATGTCCTGGAACGCGAGCAACTTACAGCCGAAAGTGTGTACACCGCGAGCCACACGCGAGCAGCGCTCCAGGATCAGCATCGCTGGCCTTTACACCGGAGATCGGAGGGAGGCGAAGAGGTCCTGCCGGGTCAGGAGGAACGGGGAAGTCGAACACACATTAAGCACACTCAGCGCACACGAGCAATGTTCCCACAGGATCATAACAGCCGACCAACAAGTGCAGGATGCCTCAGTCGCTGCCCCTTTCCCTTCCTCTGCTCCTCGCACTCGCACTCGAACTAGAACCCGATCCAATTTGGAATGCCAACGGTAAACAGGAAGTCGTCGGGGAATCGCAACGCCTTGTCCTTATCCCTATCCCCATCCCCCGGCGGAGGTCCTCGCTATCGTGGGAACCCCAGAGGACCCCGATGAGATGGCAGTTCATTATCCTTATTCCTTATTCCCCTCACCCCGCCCTGCCATAGTCAAATCATAACACACAAATCTAGAAACGGCAGCTGTTCGCTCTGCAAATTCCCATGCCCATAGCCATGCTCGGCTGCTTTTTGCGGGCAGGTGAGCGAGTCGATGTGAGAAACCGAGCAGGAAAGTGTTTCCCACGATCCTGCCAGCGATCCTGCTCCCTGGCTCCGTTGATAAGGGTGCCGGGGCAACAATAAGAAATCGCCCGAACAATAAGGAGCGGTCTCAAGAAGCGGAAGGGTCTGCATCGAGCAACCCTCATGCCAGCACACGAAGCGTGTCGCCGTCCCTTTTGCTCCTCGAATGCCAGCACACACGACGATCCAATCCCTTTGGCCCATTTTGGGGGTTGTTTCTGGCCGGCTATATAAGGCCGGGCCTCGAAGGTCTGACAACACACAACGTCTTCGACCGTCAGAGCAGCCACAGCTCAAAGAATTTACTCAAAAAATTCTAAAAAAAAAACACATACCTACAAAATGTCGTCGCTACAAATTTCGGAGATGTCCAAGACCTATCAGTACCGCAAGGTGATGAAGCCCATGCTGGAGAGGAAGCGTCGTGCCAGGATCAACAAGTGCCTCGACGAGCTCAAGGATCTGATGGTGGCCACACTAGAGTCCGAGGGCGAGCATGTCACCCGGCTGGAAAAGGCCGACATCCTGGAGCTGACAGTCACCCACTTGCAAAAGATGAAGCAGCAGCGTCAGCACAAGAGAGCTTCAGGCGATGAGAGCTTGACGCCGGCGGAGGGATTCCGTTCCGGCTACATCCATGCCGTGAACGAGGTCTCCCGCTCCCTGTCCCAACTGCCCGGCATGAATGTCAGCCTGGGCACTCAACTGATGACCCACCTGGGACAGCGCCTCAACCAGATCCAGCCAGCCGAAAAGGAACCCCTGCCCGTGACCGCTCCACTCTCCGTGCAGATTGCCACCCGGGATGCCTACTCCGTGCCCATCTCTCCAGTCTCCAGCTTCGCCAGCAGTCCCAACTCCACTGCCAGCTCGGCCAGCCATTCCCTGCTGACCACCATCGATGTGACCAAAATGGAGGACGACAGCGAGGACGAGGAGAACGTCTGGCGTCCCTGGTAGAAGGGGTTCACATCTTCCCGAAAAAAGAAAGAAAGATAGCGAAGGAGAGATCATAGAAAGTAAAAGTCTTCCGAGTCAATGGAATTCCACCATTCCGACTCCCCACCTAGTTTTAAGTAAATACCGTACACACACAAAGCTTTAGATGAGGACGCGCAGTTCATGTGATAACTAAACAAATAATAAATTATATATCTAAAATGAAATGATCACGACTTTTTTTGCCACTACTCGGTGACTCAGTTGCAAGCGAACATGCAAATTGCTGAGACACTCCCATATCTAAACAGTTCCCAATAAATTGCGGTCTAGAACGGAAATGCTAGCACCTATGTTTGTCCACTAAAACTATTCGATCGCCCCACGGATGCACACAATCGGCAGACAAAAGAAAGCGAAAACAATGCCAAGGCCGAAACAAGAAAAATTAAGCAGAAGAAGGAGAAAGAAACAGTCCAAAGTCGGGGCTACCGATGGGCAATGGGCTATATGGTCTTGGGTCTTGAACACGTGTGCGGACAATAAGCGAAGGCAACACAAAAAATTAGAGTCTTATCTCAGCGTGTCTAATCGAGTTACGACAATGTCGCTCAGACTTAGAAGAAAATAAATGGGAATAATGCTGGGGTGGGACCCGAAAAGGGATCGAGTCATCATTCATCCCGCATCCATCCTGATTTCGCTTTGTTCTCCTCTTTTTTTTTACCGTGATTCTCCTTGGCCACTCGGCTAGAAAATCGTGTGCACAATGGTCAAGGTAAGCTATGGGCACATAATTGCTTCGGATCAGGTAAATGAGTGCCTTGCCCTAGGGCAACTTTGAGATGGAGCCCCATCCCGGGACAGGATATCGTTTTTTGTTTCTTTTTTATGGGTTCTGCTTTGGGCCTTTTCGGTTTTTTTTTTGGTTTCTTTTTTTCTTGATTTGGCTGACCCAGCATCATTTGGTTATCTGTGTGCCAAGACCAGTAGCCGATCCCCAGACGCCTCTGTCTTTAAAATCGATGCGAGGGCTCAACGAGGGAATAGTCAACGAGATCGCTATCAGGATTGCCTTGGGACTAGGGATGGTACAGTGTAATAAATTCAAAGGAACTAAATTTATAGAGATTTTTCAGCTGATTAACAATCTGTTAACTTGTTAAAGCCGAATGTAGATTATCTTTAAAAGATCTCATCCAGAACAGCCCCTCTTAAGTGTTTATACTTAATTTAACATTTCCGTCCTTTAATGTTTTTTTGTTTCAGCAATTATTTATGGAAATGATTTGAAAATTGGGTTCTGGGTTAAAATACAATAATGGGAACTTCATACTTAAAAGAGTCAACTGGAATCCTTAATATTTATGAATCAATGCTGTCAATGAAATAAATACATTTATTAAAAAAGAGTTATTACATTTGAGGTCCTTTCACATATTGCGTAATCATAGAGCGGGGAGGGTGTCAGCCATATAATTACTTTTATGTACTATATTGATTTTTCGGATGACAAATCGAATACTTAGGTGTAAGGATGTTAAGAAACCATTAGTATTTCCAGAATTCGTGACTAAATTGGGTGCGTTGCTCATTTATTTATTTGTAGAAAACAGTAAGCTGAGTATTTTATTTTTATATTCTTAGAAAATACAACAAAGCAACCGTAAAATGTATGCACCAATTTAATTTTAAAAGTGACTAATTTGAGCGGATTCGAATAATTAACGACTCATTACCGACTATTCACTGACAATATCTCCAAGGTCATCTTACAGAAAGTTTCAATGTCACTTCCACCCTAAGACAACTTTTTACCCTTGTAGTAAAGGACACTTCCTAAGAGTCATGCAAAATCAGAGCTCACTTTCAAGGCTTACCCATCCCTAGATGATCCGATCAGGCGACATAACTGTCGAGCTGACAATAAGAGGACCAACACCAACCCGATCGGACCCAGTTACAATGGACAATAAGAAAAATATGGCCACAGGGATATGCAGAGGAATCGCACCCAAAACGGCAAAAGGAAATGCTGGCACAAAAGATACTTAATCTTATAGGTAAACCCGATGAATGATGAACGAATGGCGGCGACGTAACCGAACCCCCGATACAGCAATCCGGCGATCGAGCTCGAACGCAAGCCCAAGTCATTAAAAACTACAATACACAAACTGCATACGAATCACTCGAAGACCGAGGCCCAAAGAAAGGGTCTTTTTTTTTTGGGTAGGGGAAGGGACTGAAGACCGAAGACCGGGGACCGTGGCCAGAAAAAAAAGAAATATCAGAAGCGAAGATCGTGAGAAAATGGTTTGGAACGTGGTTCTCACACGATCGACACACCTGCCCTTTTTATGTATGTGTGTGTGTGTGTGTCTGGCTGTAGTGCCAGTGTGTGTGTATTTTTACGAATTCAAGATACAAGACCACTTACGGGCAAGATCACGACCGACTCGAGCTGTGGCTATATGGCTATAGATCGACATGAAAGAGAAAAGCAGCGTGCGGTAAGTGTGTCTCAGTCGAAGGCTCAGCCTCTGCCTCAGCGCTCAGCTTCGACTTTTGTGCATTGGCCAACATTGTAATGACTGTGGACACACGATCGTTAAGAGCGCGCCGTGTGATCTGGTCGAGAAAGGGGTCTGAGGTTTCGAGGGGGTACGACTATGGGTTCGGGCTCGGCGCATGCGTCGCTGTTTTGTTGAACGAACTCAATTTAGTTGGTTTATGACCAAAAAGCGAGAGAGCGAGCGGGATGGCAGAGGAGATCGGTTATGGAGATCGGAGTGGGAGATGGTCGTTGGGTCGTTTGGGGAGTTGGAGTTGGAGTTGGAGATGGAGAGATGTAGAGATGGAGCGATGGACCGCTGGAGAGGCACCCAACCACACTTATATGGTGTGCTATTGACTCTGTAATATCTTTAATATGGGATGTTGTTACACTACATTGGCACACGCTCTTGCTGCCACTGGACAAGCTGCCCACAGCTTGTGTCTGTATGTGAATGGGGATGGGAATGGGCATGGATGAGGTGGCTGCTGGCGGGACTGGAGATCGAGGCACGAGCTCCATTCCAACCCAATCCCATCCTCCATCCATGGTCGGGCCGGTTTTCCGCCGCCTCTCCTTTATTAAGTGGTGGTCTTGCGCTTACTTTAATATGGCTGCATTAAACTTTAGCGGCATGCGGAGTATTATGACTGAAGTAGGTGGCCGGACCCGCAGTGCTTTCGATGGGGGCCCACCGACTCACAGAGGTCACGTGATGGATGACGTGTGGGCTCTACTGTACCTCCTGTCACAGACCTCAGAATGGGTTGGGTAAGGTCCGAAATGCGAAAAGAGGTCTTTAAACATATTTAATGAAATTAATATTTAAAGAAAACTTATTAATTTTAATATACTATATAATCAAGCTAGTTTTGCATCAGGGTAAAACGTTTAATAATGTGTAATTAAAAAGTCTTTATAATTAGTGGAATTTTCTTGTCCCATCGCTGTACTCGTAATAAAATTCCCAAAAGAAGGCCATTCAAACGTGATAATGTTTAGTTTTGTACATTTTTCCAATAATGTATAAAAATTTTAAAAGATCACAAATTGTGTGAAAGTTTCTGCTTATCGAAGTCAGCATGAAAGTTTATGGGAAAAAGTGCTTAGCTCGTTAATTTATTAAATCAGAACACCAATTGGTTGTGGGCTTAATTATACCTTTATATTTTAATAAAATATTGTTTTTTTCTTTACATCATGGCAATCAATGAAATGTAAATATGACAAATTCGAAAATAATCTTCTAACGTGTTGATCATCAATGATTATATTAAGCTCTCTGTAATGACGCACTTTTCGACACGAAACGAAATCCAAAATGGACAGGTTTAATGGGAACCCCTTTATATCTGTCTGACGAACTAAGTTATCCAATTAGCCACCGGCTATGGCCTAGACTTCCCCGCTCTATCACTCTTAAAGTTAAGTGATCGCTTTTCAACTGGTCCATCGCAAAATAGATCACCCAGTTCAACAGACTACCGTTGAGCCCTATAAATAGCCGTTTTGTACCCCAAAAAAATAACACACACAGAGGGAAGCGCTAAAAAACCCGTCTCTATGCCAAAGTTACGTGACTAATCACATTTTCTGAAGATTAACAGCAATCAGCGACGGCTTGAACGGTCCCAGACTCAAGACGACCCGGTAAGTAGTCATCATCATAGTTGTCCACCAGACAAAGGCGCTGAATCCGAGGTTCCGTAATCGAACCGCACTCCGAAACCCATACAGAGTTGGAAATTTAAACTTTAAGTGCCGAGACGGTCGCGGTCGCGGGCTTAATTTGCAATGTCTGACCGGCGGTCCGCGCATGTGCCAAGCGGTCAAGCGCAGTTAAAGCTGTCAAAGCCTGGAAAAAAAAACTGAACACAGAAAACAGAATAAAACAAAACACAATGACCACAATGCTGAGCCATTGACAGCGGAGCCGCGGTTCTCACACTCGGCGGGCCTCATAATAAATGACGTTTCCTAGAACTGACTTTTTGCTTTATTTTATTATTTAATTGCGACAGCGCCGGCGCAAAACTTCCCGCAGATATATGTGTACCATACCCCTTTCAAGACCCCGCATACCCATACCCATTCGGAATTCTCGGGGCATAATGAGGCCAAGCCGGAGAGCCCAGACGATAGTACGAGTGTGGGAAAATATTCACCGACTTCCGGCTGTGGGCTCTGTGATTCGGTTCGCCATGGAGTTTATCTCAAATTCGTTTCTTGTTTTAAGGGGTTTTTATTTTGCGGTTGAACGCCTACTAAGAGTTGTTTAGTATGAGTAATCAGAGGAAGCCCTAGTTCTATGAGAAATAAGTAAACGAAGAGGTTCTTAAGTTGGAATGTCATTTATTTTGATTTCAGTTTCAGTTGTAGTAGATGATTTCTTTACATTTCTTCGAGAAACCTCCGCACTCTATAGCCGGAATTTAAGGCTCTGCTAGAGATTGGGACTTCTGCTGGGCTGCCGGAAAAGCAAATCCTGGTCAGCAGCTGCTGGGCTCCAAAGAAGATGGTGCGGTTTCGATTCCAGCACCTTTTGGAGCGACGATTTGTAGAAGCCTTCCGCTTGAAGGCGATCCAGATAAAGATCAGCTGGAGTCCAGTGATCACCAGGGCCGCCACATAGGCCCGGAGGTGGAACTGGCCTCACTGGGCGCCGGGCTGCAGGCACCGCTCTCCAAACTGCCGCATTCCGAGGGTGGTGGCGTGACCATAGCCTGATCCTCTACTGGCGCCTGGAGTGGCATTCCAATGGGCAGCGAGGGCACCACCACTTGCAAGTAGTTGAGGCGATGGCCCAGGTGACTCATAAGCTGGGTTCCGAGATCCACACTCACTCCGGGAACGGCAGCCAAAGTTTTGGAGACCTCATTGGCGGCATGGACATAACCCGCACGGAAACTCTCGGCAATGCTGAGCTTGGGATCTTGGGCACTCGAAGATCCACTGGAGACACTGGAGAGACGCAGTTGCTTCTGGGCCCGCAGCTTCTTCATGTGCTCCACGGTGAGTTCCAGGATGTCGGCCTTCTCCAGCCGGGTAATGTGTTCGCCCTCCTGCGTGAGGCACTCCACCATGATGTCCTTCAGTTCGTCCAGGCACTTGTTGATCCTGGCACGACGCTTCCTCTCCAGCATGGGCTTCATCACCTTGCGGTACTGATACGTCTTGGACATCTCCATCTCCAGAACCATTTTTGGTATTAGTTTTTGTTTGGGGGTACTCAAAGTGTATATGTAGGTAGTTAACTCGCGTAATCCACAGTCGTAATGTTCCACTAGATCTCGAGGCAGAGACTCTGTGTGCACGCAACGAAGTCGGAGCTTTGAATGAGTCGGCTGGCTGTGGGATCGGCTTTATATAGCCTCTGCCGCCCGGCCATCTGAACAGTGAGTGCGAGCGGGACGCTCATTTTGCCTCGTGCGCGGCCTGCTGCTGTTGCCAGCGGTGGTTTCTGGTGGTTCAGTGGTGCTGGTAGTGGTGGTGGTGGTGGTGGCTTCTGTTTTTTTGTATACTTTTCGCTCGGCCTGTATATGTGAGGGCAATAAAATGACTTGAGCTGCGCCTTCCTTCTCTCTCTCCCCCTCCCCCCCCCTCCTTATGTATGTGTTGTGATTGTTATACCGTGGGAAACTGTTTCGCAGCCGATTTCCACGACGACGATGACGACGGCTGGCCTGACTTCTTCTGATTGTGCATGCTTGGGGTCTTGTACGATCCCTCGTCCGTCTGTTCGTCTTTGCGTCTTCGAAAGACTCGGACAGACGGACCGCCTTTAAGAGGTCTGTGCGACTCGGGATCCCAGATACGATGCGAGGCGAGCACATGCCTTCCATCCATAACAAGATGTTTGCATTTCAATTCATTTGTATGGTCGGCTCGGGGTCCGGTCTTTTGGGTTTCAATTCGGTGCGGTTCGGTTGGGTATGGGGTATGGGGTATGAGGTCTGAGGTCTCAAGTCTCAAGTCTTGCCATGTGCCTTCACCCTTTTGCAGTAGCTTATGGCACGCTGATAATTGTGGAATCGTCATCGGGCCAGCGTTTCTTGCTTTTTTGTTAGCGCTTTATGGATCATTGATTGGATCGTGGTAGTCGTGGGTTTCGTGGGACGAGCATTACGCTTTTCGTTTACATGATTATTCTTGATTGTCGGTTGGGGGTTTTGGGTTTGGGTTCGGATTTGGGAGCTGGGAGCTGGTAAGCTCGGTGATCTCGGGGATCTGGGGATTTGGGGATCGGGGATCTTGGGTCGTCGCTCGCTTCTATTTGTAGACAATTACCATCTAGACAGCGACTGCTGGGAACCGATCGAAATCGGCGTGTGCGCGAAAGTCGGTTACAATCGTTATGGTTGTTGCCAGCACACGCTATAAATGTTATGGCTCGTGGGGTATACACGATATATATTTAGCACATTTGGCATTTATTTTTAGCGCTATAGCGTCGTCGTGATTCATCAACATGAGATGCTAGAGTCTCATACGCCGGCAACTGACACATCTTGGAGCCAAAGCTCAGATTTCACAATACTATATTTAATTAGAAGTGCCGGCGACGATGACGCTCGTTCGTCCATTGAAAATGACACGAGCCCGGCTCATTGGCACACAAATAACAAAAGGCCAGAGACGGCAGCAGCCACAGTGAATAAAAGCAAGCTCAAATAAGACAAATTAAGATTGCCCCTCGACGCATTCGAAATGAGCTACAGTTAGCCGAAACAAAACATCAACGGCGATAAACGGGGCAACACTCAATCAGTTAACAACTTATCTAACCGAAACGTTTTGTCCGCTGGACCGGGACAGTTAAACTGTCGATGTCAAAAAGCTGACTGCTCCGGAAATGGCTAATTGGATTTTATGGGTCGGGAGGATTGCAAAGAATCGAGGGGAGGCAAGAATGCAGTTGAATAGGGTGGATTTTCGGTCAAATTTGCAATATCCAGTAATAGTATATTATGATTAATTCCTATTGGATTATAAGAATCATGTTGGTGTAAAAATCTGCTATTAATATACTTGAAATTATTCATTTCTCTCCAAAAATAAAGTAAGACAGCTCGACAGTTATTCTTTTATTAAACTTTGATTGATAAAAAGTACAAAAGTTAAATATAATATGAAATTAGTTAATGAACTTACTTGGAAACAATATGTTAATTCAAAATTAAAAGGGGTATTACAAGAGTTAATTAGATAATTTAAAATTATGCAATTATTATGCAATCGAGAAATGCAATGGAAACTGAACAGAAGAGAATTAAACAGAACGATTATTTTTAAACGTTGATCCAGATTAATCACTTTCCAGATTGATCACTTCGTTGTTATTAAAACCTTTGTCTATTTTGTAAGAACTTTGAAATGGAATATTTTTTAAATAATACACTCAGTTCAATAAAATACATAGGTTATTGCATACATAATTTAATTAAATGGAAGCTCATTTTTTTGTAACTACCAATTTTGGAAGTTCTAATTTCCGTGTGACCACTACAATAAATGTTCCTATGTTAACAACTACTGAATCACTGCACTAATTTGTATCATTAATACCAATTGCAGCAATTAAGTACGAGCACGTGCCCTTAATATAGTAAATCAAGTGTGTCGAAATAATTTCAAACAAAGAAACACAATCTACTGGTTCAAAAAACAAGAATTCTCTAAGTATTAAGTTGAATAAAAAGGAAGTGACTCCAGCCATGAATCATAATTGAAATTTCATCAGATTCTGCAATGCTCGATGGGGTGTAGCGCACATTCCCAAGTCGCTTAAGACCAACTGGTCTTTATACACCCAATCATCCGAAGATATAAACACACACACACACATATATAAATGTTCGAAGACCTCATTTCTCTCGCTTTATTATTTCTCTTGGTTGCTTTTTTTGCAAACAATTTTATTTTTTTATCGATGGCATACGCACGCGCGAATTTCAGTGCCCCCGCGGAGTCGAGCGATCGCCAAAGGGGCGGAGCGGTACGGGGCGGGGCACGAGAGCGTGCAAAACTCGGAGACGGAGACCCAGAGCAACAACACCAGTGTGTATGGCCATAGCGTGTTGTTGAATTAATTTATATCCAACAGTGCGCTTTCAACTTTATTGCGCCGCGAAAAGCAGCCAGCCAAGTCAGCAGTCGTCGGTGGGTCCCCTCCTCCCCTGGAAGCCCCTCCAAAACCCCCATAAAACCCCCCTCGAATCCCCCTAAAACCCCCTTTGAAAACCCCCGCTAACCCACAGATACACCAGCTCACAGATACAACGCACACCAAGGCAACGCCAGACCGTGGGAAACAAACTCGTGCCAGTCGTTTCATTGCTGTCAAATAATATCTTGATGGGGATCAACTTGAAAAGATTGGTTGGGGCTTGGGCCCGAGCTCGGTCCGCTCCGGGTCTCCGTCTCTTTTGCCCTCCTCTGTTGGTTGCCGCTGTTTAGGATGCGGTCGACGCTTTTGTTTTTTTTTATTCAGCTTTTCTCATTTTTTTCGTATTTTTTAGATCTCTTTTTTAATGCTTTACACATTTGTTCGTCATAGCCGAGCGTTGAGTATGTGTGCCTATGTGTGCACTCAAAAAAAAGGGTTATAAATCTAGCGGGCTGGAGGTCATGGGTTTCTATACCCCAGATTATAACTTGAGTGTCTATTTTGAATATCAATTACTAATTGTCCTCCGTAAAAATTTATTCGCGTTAAATACATTTGCAATTGAAAACAATATTACTTCAAAAAGACAAAGATTAAAATTTCTTAATTTGTAAGCTTAATTTAATGAAATATTTTGCGAAGTAAAAGATTGACATTTTAAAATTCCATTACAAATTAAATGTAGGCTGGGGCTTTATTCTTAAAGAGAAAAGACTTGGTTTTCCTATTTGTAATCCCTATTTGCTGTAATTGCATTGATACCTAATTAAAATGTATTATATTTTAGTTCACTAGTTCACTAGTTTAGAATTTAATATTCTGACAAGTGTATTCATACTGCCATTGGTGGTGTATGTAAAGATCCAAAAAGCCAGAAACCAGTTTGCCATCCGCCAAAGCCAGTGGACTCTGCTCTGTGGCTGCTGGGATGCCGACACATACTCCACTCGGAGGAGATCACATAAAAGACCCGGCACACCTCCTACTGGAGCCCCAGCTCCCCCGGGTCCCCCCCATTAACCACCAGCTTGTGAATGGCTCCTCCGCCTGCTTTTATGCACTGTTTGTTGTGTATACACGGTCGGGCACTTGGCACGTTGCCCATTATCTCTTGGCAACTCAAACTGGAACTGATGCTGAGGCTGTGGCTCTGGCTTTGACTGTGGCTGGGGACTTTATTTTTTGTGAAGATTTCGAGTGCATATATCATATTACCACCACCAGCAGGCAAAGATGCATATGCATCATCATTCCCGGCCTCTGCCAAGTGTAAACTGTCAATGGCCTCTTGACAGGAGGCCCCCAACTAGAGGGAGCCCCCCAAAAGACTCCCACTTTGGATCTGGGATCCCGGCTTGCCACCAAATACTGTCAGCTAGTCTTGGCAGGGGGTGCAATCTGTACGATCCATTAGTGGCACTGATAAAAAAAGAACCATTAAACAGGATCCCCTGGCCAACGACAAGTCATTAAAACGTATCTTCAAGTACGCGTTCGTATCTCGCTTCGCACACACTTTCTCCCTGCGCCTCTTATCGGGCGATCCCTACCCCTCAAGAAAAAGAAACCCTCCCTAACGCTCCACACTTTCAGCACACTTGGGCCGCATGAAAGGGAATTAATTAAAATATCTATAAGATTTCTAGCTCACCCCAGGGGAGTGTTTCCAAATTGAAGACAAGTGGAAAGTCCGTATTTTATTGGTGGTGGTTTCGGTGGCGGTGGTGGTAAATGGATGCATCGAGCTCTGTGGGAAAGTTGGAAATCAAAACACCATAACAAGTGATTCGAGATGCCTATACAAATAGAAGATCCAACCCCAAGTTCCCTTTTTCCTTTTATATTCGAAACCAGAGCCAGGACGAATAAATGTGTGGGAATGCGTGGGAATGCTCCTGGGGTCCCGAAACCATGAAACGGTCCCGTACCCTGCCTTTATGTTGATTGCCCATTAGGAATACAATTTGCAACTCCTTTTCCATGATGTGATCCCCTTGTTGATCCTGGGCTTCCTTCGGTGTCGTGAGAAATTTTACCAAGGAACACCTGCCCCTTGTCGGTGTGTCCTGGATTGCCAGTGTGTTGGTGATTTTTTCATGCTCCTCTCGGGATTTCTCGGGGCACTTGAATACGTTTCCGAAAATTTTAAGGCCAACGAAAAATTGTTTCCCACACTCGTCGGACAGTTGCAGTTTTTGTAGGGGTTTGTTTCCTTCGCCGATGCACTCTTCTCGTCTCGTCCCGTCCCGTCTCTACCTGCTCCTGAAACTTCCCCAGCTCCTGGTGAGCGTCGTATTTCAGGTTCTCCGCCCCGATTATCTCGGTCTCGTCTCGGTCTTTGAGGGCTAGGGTCTCCGCTCTTGTCTCTGTTTGTATTCCCCTCCCTGTCTGCGGTGCGTGTCGTTGGCAGGGGTCCGTTCTCGCCCTCTCTGTCGCTCGAGCGCACAGGAAATGCATTTTGTGCCGGGACGGCTATAAAAGCCGGCCGTTTGCCGGTTTGGAAATCATTCTGACATCGTCAGCCTTTCAAGCAACACGCACTCAAACAAACTATATATTTCAAACCACCAAAAATGTGCCAACAAGTCGTTGTCGTCGCCACCACCAACAAGATGAAGACCAGCTACAGCATCAAGCAGGTCCTGAAGACTCTCTTCAAGAAGCAACAGAAGCAGCAGCAGAAGCCTCAGGGCTCTCTGGAATCCCTAGAATCCGTCGACAATCTGCGCAATGCCCAGGTTGAGGAGGCTTACTATGCCGAGATCGATGAGAATGCCGCCAACGAGAAATTGGCCCAACTGGCCAACTCCCAGGAGTTCGAGATTGCTGAGGAGCAGGAGGATGACGAGGAGGACGTCTATGTCCCAGTTCGCTTCGCTCGCACCACCGCCGGCACCTTCTTCTGGACCACCAACCTTCAGCCAGTTGCCAGCGTCGAGCCCGCCATGTGCTACTCCATGCAGTTCCAGGATCGTTGGGCCCAGGCTTAAACACTTCGCCTCACCCTTCAATCTTCAAGCTTTAAGAACACTACAAACATTGTGATAGCACCAGCGGCTTTAACTCACCAACAATCTCGGCGATCCAGCGCTTCCATTAGTAATTAAGATATTGTGATAGAAAAAGAAAGCTTTAAAACAAACGTACAAAATACAAAACAAGAAATATCAAAATCAAATTCACACTTCTTATAATTGGGTTCTGGGTTTTGGGTTCCAGCATAACAAATGTATCTTCTTCCAGAGTGTTTTGATTCGTTGGCATTCCACATGAATGAATCGCTTGTTGTCCTACACTAAATATTGTTCTCGAAGTCGACGTTCCACGATAAGAACAACTGCTTGCACAGATATTTTGGGTTATTTTCAGAGTATGATAAAAGAAGGGAAAACACTTGATTTACTTCCCATCATATTGATTCTGGAAAGTTTATTGAGTAATAGTTCAATGTAAATAGGGTAATGGTAAATGAAATGTAATATTTAAATTCTGTTTAAAAGGTCAACGTTTATTATTTCACTTGTGAACACTCTGATTTGTTTAGAATAATGGATGAAATAATAAGCAATTCTTAAAATATCGGACACATTGTAGTCATAATTTGTCAACAAAGTAGGATGATGTGTATTAGAAAAATATAAAAACGAATAAGGGAACAAATGATATGTTTTTTAGCATGACTTATGATTATGATTTATTTAAAATGCGTTTAGCCCTATTGCTATTATTAGAGAATATGTAATTTAACGACACTGAGTAGTCATATACGACGTTTCTTTTTCTATGTATCAAATCTATTTGTCCAAACTGGTTCGCCCGAAATCCAAAAACCATTTTATAATTGAGTTAAGTACAATTAAAACAAGAGAGAACGCTATAGTCGGGTGCCCCGACTATCAGATACCCGTTACTCAGGTAAAGGGAGTGCGAGGGAGATGGAGATAGAAACTTTGATCACGCATAACTTTTTAACGAATGGTCCGATTTGAAAAATTTCTTCTACATTTCGATAGGTATTGATAAACACAATAAAACTGCATTTTTACTTTTCCGAAATATTTAAATTTTTAAAATCGTATATAAGCGATTGTGGGCGTTAAAGGGGGCGTGGCACCTTTTTGAAACAAACTTGCGCTGCGTAGGAACTCCTAGAATCTGCATGCAAAATGCCAATCTTCTAGCTTTTATAGTTTCCGAGATCTCAGCGTTCATACGGACAGACAGACAGACAGACGGACAGACGGACAGACGGACATGGCTATATCGACTCGGCTAGTGACCCTGATCAAGAATATATATACTTTATAGGGTCGGAAACGCTTCCTTCTAGCTGTTACATACTTTTGCACGAATACAATATACCCTTTTACTCTACGAGTAACGGGTATAATAACCCCTAACTGGGTCAGTAAAGATTGGCGCAACTGCACCACATCCTGCAATAGAGAAGCCTACACTTAGCAAGAAAGTCCATTCCTCGGATAGTTCTGTCCCAAAATGGACAACCTTGTGGCCAGCCTTGTCCTGTGGCTATTGTGGCCAGAAGGTGTGATGTGCTCGCACTCTGGAGAGATGGCCGAGAGCCAATTTGGCCCAGAGCCAAGTGTTATGGCTATCACCTTGGCTAAGGCCACCATCGCCACCTGTGTGCGACCAAACATGGATGTCGTGCGCATAACTTCACGGCAACTCCTGGCAAACGGGCTGGTTGTCGCTTGTCGTACAACTTATTTATGAGCCGGCGAGGGAGTGGAGAAAGGCCAAAAGGCGGGGGGAAAACCCGAAGAACCCGGTGAGATCCAAGATCCCAGAACCCAGAACCGAAGACCAAAAACCACAATTAAAATGCAACATGTAGACGTCAACACCTCGAGACATCGAATCACATGCCAAGGCGTCTCGAGGCGGACGTTGAAATTGGGCATAAAAACAGTTGCCGCAAAAGATAATCGCCTTGGCTAAGGAATCTCAATCCGACGAAGGTCCCTCACACAATTCCCACTCTGTCTGTCCCATTCTATCAATCTCAAACGCATTTCTCCTACACTAAAAATGCAAATTGATGTCGACAGCAGGGAAGGAGCAGGCAAAGAAGTTTGGAAAATGAAAATAAAATAACAACATGAATAACCAGAAAGATGGGGAACGATTCAAAAACAACCTAGACTCAAATACTCTTTCTTTTTTCTTCAAGTTCCTTAAAATATAAATCTTGTTAACATGCATTGCCTTTCTTGGCTACTATATAACTCACAAGCTTGCAATGAATTTCATAACTAAATAGTTTACTAACTATTGGTTTCTGTAAAAATATTAAAACTAATCATGTAAATATTTATACATTTCAAACTAAAAAAACATATATTCAACAAATTAAACGAACTAAAATTGAGGTGGAGAACCTAGTAACAATTTCAATAAATCCATTTTGTTCCGTGGTCGAAGAATTAGTTTTTGCAATGCCAAGTCACTTGCTAGTTTTTAAATACCCCTTGAGAGTGAATGCAAAAGTTCTGGTAGCGCCGTGACGTAAATTAAGTAGCAATATAAGTTTCTGTTAAATTGCCTTTGACAGCACATAATTAATTTCGTATGCAAAGCGACGCTTGTCTGCACGAAAGAATTGAAAATTGGAAGAAAGAACCGACCGTGGAATGCTGTTGATAATGCTGATGACACTGTTCAAGTCGATGGGCGATGATAGCGTAGAGTCCGGGGGACATAGCCTGATGGCTATCTAGATGGGCCGTGCCTCATTTGCAGTGAGACAACCTGATCCTGCGTTGTTTTTATGTTTGGTTTTGGGTCTGGGATTGGGATTGGGATCGGGCTGTGGTCTTTCGTAGTCTTCAGCGGTGGGTTTAATGTACGCGTGTGTACCCAATTCTCGATGACCAGCGGAGCGGCCTTCGCGTGCGTGACGAGCATTCACTTAGCGGTCATTGATTGGCCGGGCCTGTTGATTTTGGCCAGGTCTATTCCATGGAGGGCGCCGTCAGCAACAAGTGTGTGAACACCATTAAACGGTGATTAGGCCCGGCCACCACGCTCCACGATCCCTTGGCCACCACCGGGGATTCCCCACCTCCTCTTCCACGGCATCACTTGTGTGAGGCAAATCGAGAGGCCTCAATTACCATTATCCCCCATGGAGATCGGCAGTTGCGATGAACTGAGCCACAATGTGGGCGGCCAGAATGTTGTAACCGAATTAGATTGAATGTGTGGATCATTTGTCATAACGGCTGAGGGATGGGAATGTGTGTGATTATTGTTTTTTTTGGAAATTTCGTTTGTTAAAAATTGTATAGGGCTAATCGGAATGAATTGTACAATTTAAGAACAACTGATTCCTTTTGAGTATGAAAACATCCGTTAATTTATTAGCACCGCAAGTGCGTCTTTAAAAATATTTCACGTAGTTCCAGAAAAGCATAAGTCATATCCCAAAAAAAAAGTTACCTCAACTAAGAATTCGGTAAACAATGTTATCACAAGCACAGCCAAAACAGCATCATAGAAAATATTATCAATATTTTTAGAGAGAACCTTTGTTATACATATGCGACAAGAAAGATAGTAGACATGAAAAATTGGTGATGCTGTTTTGGAAACGAAATCAAAAAAAAAATTGGTACACCTCGACACACCAAAGTTGTAACACCCTTACAGTTATAGGATACAATCCCATGTTTAACAAAAATCCAAATGTTCATAGCAAAATGTGTAATATAAATTAGTAGTATATATAGGCTTGCTGTTTAATAACCCCCATTCTAGTTTACGAATAACTTGCTTTTATAATGAAAATTTATTTTGCGTATATATATATTGGATTATAAGAAAATATAAAGTGATATGGATATAACTGAAAGCGGAATGGTCATCGAATCGGGTCAATATTGGTAATCTGTATTAGTCGACTTTTCGGTTGCGGTTTGTCAATGGCGGCAGTGTTTCGATGGTTTTATCATGGGTGATGGTAACCTCCACAGTTTTCATGTTGCTCGTGAGGAATTGATTTAGGCTGGTGACATTCCAGGGGGGCAGGCGATCAAAGGGATAGCCCATGGACCTGCGATCCGGATAGAGGCGATCGCGAAGTCCACAGTAAGAAGCTGATTTGCTGCAGCCTTCCACACCTGGCTGAATAACCTTGAGGATAAAAGTCAGCAGTGTAAAAGTTGGGAGAAGTCCGAAGTACATTATAGAAACACTTACCCTTTCGTTTTCATAGTTGGAAACCATGAGGAACAGATCAAAGGTCATTCCCTCAACCTTACCCCTGGGCACCAGCATATGGTCGGGCCAGCCGCAGCCGCAGAAGAATTCCTCCTGCTCCGCCGCAGTATTCTTTCCTGGACGGTTACTATCCTGATCACGGAAAGTGCGTTCAAACGGAATGGTAACACTTGAATTGATGGATTTCTGCGTAAAGGTACTTTCTCCGGGCGGCATGCGAATCAAAAACTTGTCCAACTCGATCATCATTAGGCGCTGGTCAGCCAAGACCATAGTGCTATTATTATCATCTAACCTGGGCGCCATGAAGATGCGCGCATAGCCGAGTAGTGGGGCGCCACTGGAGTTATTCACATCGAATGTGTATTCGAATGGGTGGTGCTGCAGATGGGTGAACCGAGTGAAGACACTGCCGCGCGGCTGAAAGTCCATGCCGCGGGACAAATCCACATCGGACTCCTTGAAAAATGTGGTCAGTCTGTTCAACTGACCTCTGCTCTTCACGTTGATGTTCAAAACATCTATGCCCGGAAAGCTCAGGTCTTCCGCCTTGTAGGCGGGCAGTGTTTTCTTGTGCGCCTGGAACAAATCGTCGATGTACGCGTGCCACTTGTAGAATATGGGGTCCCGCATGGCAGTGGATGAATCCCCCATCACGCCCGGGAACTCCAGATGCTTGTGGGTCGGATCGTGGGCGTACGCGATCAGCATATGTCCCATGTTATGTAGGTCACCGTACTGGAAGTTTAGAAAATTGCAACATAATAAAGATCAATTTCAAAGTAAAATTAAATATTGTTTCAAATTTGGCACATTTAAATTTCGTATTGTTGTGTCCTGCGACATGGTTTTAGCCCTTTTTTAACATATTCACAATAAAAACTATCAAAAGTTTTTGGGGCTCAAACATTTTAAAAAGCAAAACTTTACTTATTCTTATCAAAAGTCTTATTAAAATGGTTATGCCCCTTAAAATGTATAGCTTTAGAGCTCGGCATTGTCTCTTACCAGCATAGAATTGGGCGATAGAACAGAGGACTCAATAATGTTTCCCAGGATGTCGATGCCCTTTACTTCATCTAAGCGAACGCTTTCATTGTCATCCTAAAAATAGCAATAAGATTTAAATACTCTCCATATTGAGTGGGACGAACGGAGGACTTACGTTTATAATAAATCCATGATGGATGGCCTCATAGATGCTTCTGCTCCAGTTATTCATGTCATTAATTCCCACTTTCAACTGGTCGACCTTTCGGTGAAGATCGGTCAGTTTTACGTTATCAAAGCGCGGAGGAAAGGCGCGACTGGCCACCTGGGAGTCCATCTTGGGGAAGTAGCCCTCTGCAATGGGCTCAGTAAGATTGTTAAACGGCTTCACCAGCCCCATGTTGTTACTCAATCGCTCCGCATTGTAACGGGCAATAACCTGCTGGTGCATATAGTAGAAGAGCTCGCCACGGCGATCCTTTTTTACGATATTGTGGTGGGCGCCGGGGGTTATCTCGATGGGATAGATCAGATGCCAGTGCCAGTGGTGTAGGTTGATGCCCAAGTCCTCCCGGAAGTACCAAAGGTTGTGCTCCGGCTCCAGATCGGAGGCGGTGTACTTGATGGGGATGACGATGGGCCTGCGATCTTCTGTACGCTGCATCACAAACGATTCCTCCCGAATCATTTGCAACACCGTCGAGTCCATGAAGCGATCGGGAAAATACTGCCAGAAGGAGCGCAAATTCAAGTCCTTGGTGTCCGGACGGTGAAGCAGAGCCACCGCAAAGGCGTAATGGAAGAGCACCGGATGCATGCGATCCCTGGCGTACACGGCCACGCTTTTTAGGTGTTCCACGGAATCCAATCTTAAAAAGATGTCGATCAGATAGCCAGCCTTTTGGCGATGCGATTGTATGAACAGCGAAAACGATTCATTCCGTTTCAGGGACTCGGGGAAACTAAGATCAGGAATGCTGATCTCCGAAACAAAGACTTTAGGCCTATCATCCCCGAGCCGCATCTTGACTATCTGGCACTCTTCTAAGTTGTACTTTTCGGTCAAGTATGACTTGGGCACTTCGAACATGGTTCCATTGCCGCCCTTGTCCATGAACACCGGCTCCGTGGGGTGGTCGAACAGCAGGAGGAGGTCCTTCTTGTTTGGCATTTTCTTAAGGAAATAAGCTCTTTCAGGTCCTTGAGGTAAGCTCACTGATTGAATGTCACTGGAAGCTTTGGCACTTCACAACTGTGACAATCCATTGGATTGACCTCCTTTTTATACAAAATTTGGGAAGTAAGAAGCTAGCATTATCAGCGAAAATTCGTTCGCGAATTCGGGGACCGGAAAACCGCAGAGAAAGTATTCAAAAATAAATAAATAAATGGGGTTTTATTAGGGAATGCATCAGATAAAGTGCACAAAAAACTGTAAGCTTAAAGTTATACGATTTATATAAGCTTGATAATGGCTTAACTTCATGAATCTTTTATGTTCTGTATATTTTACAATTCTAAGCTTAGAGTTATATTAAATGTTATTAACAATATTATTCTATGATATTGTTCTATGAGATGTTACCAGTTATAAAAAAGGGAATTTCGCTCGTGAAATTACAAAAAATCATAACTAAATAATACTCTCCAAAATTACAAAAAATCATTACTAGATAATACTCTCGAAATTACAAAAAAAGCATTACTAAATAATACAATGACTGCTTAAATATTTAAGAACAGCAATATAAAGCCAATTGGGACAGATTATTTGAACGGGTGGTCCAATCTTTCTTTTAAAAGTTTATAAATGCCATGGAAAGTATTCTTTTGTTTTAAAACTAGAAAATATGTCTACTTAACTGCGTGGCCAAAATTCTGATCAAAATTATAAAACTCTCTGCAAGAGTATAAGCAATTAGTCACGCAAACAGTGCTGGCACCTTTTAGAACTTTGTAGGCCACATAGACGAGTTTCTGTTTGGCCCGCTGATAAGAAGTCCGGCGTTATCAACGCGCTACAACTGATAAAGTATCTACTAGTAGCTCTAGAGAGTCATAAAAATATATAAAAATCAATGAAACTTCAGACAGGCACGGCAATTCAAATCAATAACTACTCCAGAGAGAACGCATTCGTCGGTAAAAACCCAATAACGTAAATAGAACAACCTCAAAATGATGAGCCAAACTTTGACACTTTGCTGCCTGGTTTTGGTGGCAGCCGTATCGGGAAATACAGTATCCACTAACGATACTGCCTGCCCAGCATTTTGTGCCAGCATATACAAGCCAGTGTGCGCAACTGATGGCCAGAACTTCAAGGAGTTTGCCAGTGACTGCAACCTTTTGTCCCACAATTGTCGCCGCGAAAGAAACAGCATGCAGGGTAAGAAAAATGAAATCGAAATTAACTTTGACCTTGATCTTTAAAATTGTTGTTTTTTATAGCCTATGCTGCCACCGATGCCGCCTGGTGCAGCTCCGAGTTCGTCGAGAATCTGCGCGAAAAGTTGGGCAACTTCAAGCTGGAGGTCCAGGAGTGCTTCAAGCCCTGCTCGATGATCTACCAGCCGGTGTGCATTACCAATGGCAAGTATCGTGCCGAGTTGGCCAACTCCTGTCTGCTGGAGACCTTCAACTGCGCCCTGCAGTTCTCTGGCGCCCAACCCGCTGAGCTCTTCCGCCTTTTGCGCGAGGAGAAATGCTAGACGGGATCGGTCGTTAAATCGAAACAATGCACAGGCCCATCTTTTGTTCGAAATAGTCATCCTTTTGTTTTGAACAAAAATATAATCCTACGAATTTATGAGACATGAGTAAACGAGTTGTTAATTAGGGTGTTCACAGTGGGAGGGAGGCGAAAGTGAAATGCAATTTAGGGCACGAGCAGTTGGTGCGATTCGGCATGGTCAGCATTGTAAATGTTTTATTAAGGAGACATCGTTTGAAAAATGTTTAAATTTGTTAAAGATGTTTCTATATATGCACCTCCAGAGTTGTTACATACATATATTTTAAAACTTGAAGAAAATATATGGCTCCAAAAGATTGGCTTTTAGTACAAAGATGTCAAGAATTTATTCACTTTTTATACCCGTTACTCGTAGAGTAAAAGGGTATATTGTATTCGTGCAAAAGTATGTAACAGCTAGAAGGAAGCGTTTCCGACCCTATAAAGTATATATATTCTTGATCAGGGTCACTAGCCGAGTCGATATAGCCATGTCCGTCTGTCCGTCTGTCCGTCCGTATATACGCTGAGATCTCGGAAACTATAAAAGCTAGAGGATTGGCATTTTTCATGCAGATTCTAGGAGTTCCTACGCAGCGCAAGTTTGTTTCAAAAAGGTGCCACGCCCCCTTTAACGCCCACAATCGCTTATATACGATTTTAAAAATTTAAATATTTCTGAAAAGTAAAAATGCAGTTTTATTGTGTTTATCAATACCTATCGAAATGTAGAAGAAATTTTTCAAATCGGACCATTCGTTAAAAAGTTATGCGTGATCAAAGTTTCTATCTCCATTTCCCTCGCACTCCCTTTACCTGAGTAACGGGTATCTGATAGTCGGGGCACCCGACTATAGCGTTCTCTCTTGTTAATACTGACATATATCTAATAAAATTAATATTTAAAACGGTTTTTTATCTTTAGTTGTTATCAGTTTCGCAGCTTTCCTGTTATTTTCATTCCTTGTTAAACCACGTTTATCGGTCTTATAACCACAAATGTTGCTAAATTTTTATCTGCGGTTTTCCGGCCCCAAAAGTTTGCCATTTGCTCTTGATAGGTTTTTTTTGATAGTGGTTAATGCAGGAAGTACTCCTGCATTGTTTATCGTAGATAGTCATAAGTGTAAGTTCCCATTGTGCGGTCCCCAATAAAGTATACTCCATAATAAATAATATACTGTTCAAACATTATTACTACACTAAAGCAATGGTAGTATAGAATGAATAGGAAAGAGTTCATTAACACAGGATATAAGAGGTCAGGTTAACCCTTGCAGTTTTTTGTATAGTCTGGGAGCATCGATGTGACATTCACTGCAAGATGATACCAGTTATGCCCAGCTCCCTCCTCTTTCAGCTTCTTTTGATCAGTTTCTCAACCCGTCTTGGCAGACCGTTCATCTGTCAGGCCTCATTAGGTTCCACTCATAACATTGCTTCCGTTATCCTTTGCTCTGATGTTCGTTCTTCCGTTACGAAAGTTCTTCAGGAGATCGGGTTCTGCTCTCAGATCCCTAGAGGTGATAATATAAAATAAGTGTCTTTTTCAATTTTGTTTGTGTGCCGCAATGTCCGACGAAGATAAATGATGAAAATTATTGGTTCTTTTTACTTATTCCGAAATGACCTTTGAACTAAATGAATATGTTGTGTCTCATCTGACTATCTTTTTTTTCTAACTCCTTACAACAATTAAAATTTTGTCCATCACTTCATAAAGTTTAATTGCCAAAAAAAGCGTTAGACTTTAAACATGTAAACAAAAAAAAGTAAAATCTCTAGACTCTTATCAGGTTCTTGTCCCACACCCCTATCAATAATATAACATTTCCTTTTCTTGTTCTTTCCATTTGTATGGTATAAAATGAGTGTTTATATTTTATTTTACATGCAAATTAGTATCACATTAACAACGTAAATATTGCGCAGGGAAATAAATAAATGAAATTACAATAATTAGGGGTATAACCCCCATGAACTTGAGATCTGTTTAGTAATGGGTTGAGGTTTTGTGGGTGGAGTAAAACTAACATAGCGTTCCAGGCAGCTGACTGAAGCTCTGGCAGAGCAGGGCATGCAGAAGATCATCATCCACTCGCTCCTGGGTGTTGGCCCAAAAGAAGGTGCCATTATCGGTGCTGATGTACTGGAGGGGCAACTGCAGATCCCAGAGGTTACTGGGCAACTGTGTTGCACTTTGTGAGCTACTACTGTTGATGTTGCTGCTGTTCATGTTGCTGCTGTCCAAGTTGCTGTTTAAGTTGCTGCTATGATGTCTGTGCTGGCAGTTGCGTCCATGCTGGCAGGCCCTGCAGCTCTGGGCGCTGACCTTGTCCACGTAAACACTGCTAATTAGGGTGGGCGTGTTGGGCGGTTGCATAAGCGACACCTCATCCTCCTCGGGCAATTGTCGCAGCTCCAATCCATATTTGTGGGTAGACTCTTCGGTCGTTGACTTGGTCTCCTCCTCAAGGAGCAGCTCTAGTTGCTGCTGCTGTTGCTGTGTGTTGTTGAGATCCACATTGTTGGGATGGGCCAAGGTCACCTGGGTGGTACGAACCTTGCCACCCACTTTCAGCAGGCGACGGAGCGGCTGCCAAACTTTGTGCATACGCCGTGGTGACTTTGAGTTCGTGGGTAATGCTGCTGCTGCTGTCATCACTGAAGTGTTGCTGTTTGCATTGGTTGTCATGTTTTTCGTATCCAGATACATGTTGCTGCGGTGTTTCGTTGAGCTTTTTCTTGGCTATCTTTTATATGGTTTATGGACAGCGAGCGTTGCGTGTGCGCACCTCGCGAGAGCTGGTCGTTTACTGATGCTGCTGCGCCGGCGTCGCTCATATTTATATATGAGGCGAAGTTGCTGCGCTGCCGATGGCCAGTCAAGAGTGAAATCGTACGCCGGCTGATCTCACGAGCAGTCTATAGCCCAAGCACCGTACGAAATTTGAGTGCACTCTCACACACAGAAGACATACACACACACACGTATAGAAAACGCAGGGTGAGAGGTGAAACCATTGGAGGAGGGGTTCCAGCCAAGTAAAGGCCTTTTTATGTGCGCGTATTTCCCAAATAAATTCCAACAGGAATCCACAAGCTCCAGTCTTCTGTGTGTGTACTTTTCCCATGCACGTACAATCGACAAGGGCCGCTTGATGAGTTTGCAGGTAGATGAAGACGACCCTGTTGCACAGTGGGTTCGGACCAATTGGTAATTTTTGTGCATATCACATTTTCCTAGAAAGGTTCAGATAATTAAATTTAAATTGTACGTTCCTTGTCAAATAAATCAACATGTTTGCATTACAATATTTTTAAAATGTTTTAATTGAATGTTAATTTAACTGTATGTTATCCTGTTTATAAAATTTGAATATCACCAGATATTAATGATTACTTATGCAATTAAAGCTAGTTTCCTAAATAATTTTGTTCTGAAAATAATTAATTTTTATAAATGGGTAATCAAAAATAATCTTTCAAAAAAAATATAACTTGGAAAAATATAAATTATAATTGTAGGTCTGCTCGATAAAAATCCACAGCAGTTTTTTTTTATATATATTTACCCACATAATAATTCTTTCCTTAAAACATATTTTTCAGCCAGATACAAAAATTACCAGTAGTTTCTAACCACAGTGCGCATCGCCTGTTCGTCATTTATGCACGACTGACTTTGTTTTCACATTCACACGGTACCCAGGGCCCGGAGCCCAGTAGTACATGGGTTGTTGTCCGGTCCGTTCTCCAGGGTTCGGGATTTCGGGGGACATGGTAGGGGTGGGGGGTATATCTTACCACAGGGCCGTAGTCGAAGGGGCCCTAATAGCACCTGTTCCCTTCTGCGAGCGTGGGACTAAGACGCTGGGCATTTCCGTCCTGGGGAACTGGCAATGGCAAAGGCAAAAGGCGCAGGCGTCGCCGTTGTTCGATGTCGATGTCTTCGAGTGTGGGAAAGGGCTTATAAGAATTTCACTTGGGTTTTCGGCTTTTTCGGGGCACTATTATTGTTGTTGTTGCTGCTGCTGACGCTGTTATTTCTGTTTCCTTTCGATGTGATTTTTGTTTCAGGCTGAGCAGCTGTTATTGCTACTTGTTGGCCTGTTTGTTGTCATTTATAATCAAGGCTCGCAGAGCCCGGCGCTGATAAGTTCATTTTAAAAGGGACTAGTCGCAACGAGGGGATTATGACATGTTGTGGTTCACACGCTCCGAACTGGGAACGGAAAACGGGATGGGTATAAGTATGGGTATGGCTATGGGCATAGTAATGGTATATGGGGATGGGGATCTAATGAGGCCGTGACCTCATTCAGGCAGCAAGTCCTTGCCGGATCGCAGGTTCCCACACAGCACAACAATCGGTGTTAGCTGCCATAACTAGTTAGGCCAGCTCAGGCTACGAATCGGGTTTTTATTTTTGTTTTTTCCTGTGGCCGAAACTCGTGCCAATCGCGTGTGCACCGCACGCTTGCGCACCAGAGATCTCTCGACGCGACTTGACTCTCTTGCCTTTGGCCGCTATTAATCTTGGCTGAAACACCACCACCTCCCCCGCCGACCCGCGCACTTTTGCCCCCAATCAGCGTCTAGGCTTTGAACTGCACGTTTGCCAAATTGAAAGCGACTGACTTGGCAACACGGACACCGGCTGAAACTCCAACTTGGAGCCGACTTCCAAGCCAACTCCGACTGCGATTGCGATTGCAGCTCCAACAGAGGCCAGCTTGTGCCTGGGCTTGCGCCTTTCGGAGGCAGACTTTGGAAGTCGTTAGGCAGTTTATACTCTTTCTTATAAGGGGGTTACGGGATATACCTCAAAGCAAAGGCATCCAAAAATATTAGATATTTATAATTTTTAAAAGTCATACCAAAAATTGAATTAGGAATTTCGCTTTAGGAAATTAAGTTTTCGGTAACATTATAATAATTACTTCTATTGAATTTTATAATTTTAATAAATGTAAATCAAGCTATAATTTAAATAAAAATATACAGTTACAAATGTTAATATATTTTTCTCGTTGCATTTGTCATTTAAAATGTACAATTTTCTTTTAAAGATTTGATTACCGTCATATCCTACGAATTTTAATAGAAAATGAATTATTGTTTAATTCACTGCTATTTTTATTTGGATAATAGACATTTTACTAAAAAGCTAAATAAACGTATAAAATAAATATATAAATATAAAATATGTTTTAACTCTCAATCTTAAGAATTTTCTTCTTCAAGAGTATCGGAAATTCGCTGCTCGATGACCCCTCAACACTGTCTTTACCCATCAGCAACTATTTGGCTTTTAAGCTTTTGGTTCACACGACCGGCGATGGCAACAAGTTTTGTGCAAAACTATATACACATCGACCGACACACGGACGGGCATATATGACAAGCAATTAGTGTGCATTGAGGTTAGTCGAAAATGGTTTTGCGGTCTCTCTGTCCATCGAAGTGTGTGTGAGTGATTATTTTGCATATTCGCATTACTCATACGCCACGTGTGCCGGCCAAGTTGAAAGTTGAGGCATCTTGAAAGGCGAACCATCGAAATGCCTTGAGAGGCTTAATTGTTATGGCTCCAGTCAGCAGAAAGCCAAGCGAAGCCAAGTCAAGCCAAACGGCTAACGGAAGTCATGGCCAGAAGACAAACAAACAGAGCGATTCTGCAGCATCATGGGAAATGCTTAGCCAGGCAAAAAGCACGGCCACAAAAAATAACTCCGAGGCGTCCAACCACAAGTGTCATATTGCCTCGGTGGTGATAAAGCCAGCCCAACACCAGCTGCGAATAAAGGGGCATAAAAAAGAGGCAACATTTTATACACTCTGTGCTGACCAGTAGCCCTGAGATCAGCGAATTAAAAAATATATTTATGGAGGACGGGCGAAAAAAGAATCTTAGAACGACAACCGGATGTTAAAGTTTATGAAAGTCGACGAAAGTCGTCAAATACCGAAGGGTTGGTAATCGGACTATGCAAAAACAGTTTTTCGGAACCCCCAATGCGCCGAGATAGCGAAACTGTTACACTTAATCGATACGCTTCAACGAAATATCAACCCAAAGCCATCATAGTGGTTGTACACTGACAGAAATGCTTAATAATATCAGTTAGATTCATTATTTGTAATGTCAATTTAAATTATTGTATACCGTCAATACTAAATACAATTTTATCTACACGCACTATTTTATACAATAAGTTTAGGAGGAGATTACATAAGTCGATAAAAGATTTAGATTGTTATCCAAGTTAATTATGTAACTATCCCAAAAAAGGTTATGCTATAATAAATTATATCTAAATGGAAATTAGTTAATTTGTGATTTGAAATGTTTAATGCTTTAACAAGTCCAAATACAATCAGAATTTAACTCTAACAACCCTCCAATTACCTTCCAAAAAAGGGTTTTCTTAAAAAAAATCAGCTTTATAAGCTTTTGTTGCTATATATATCCCAAGCATATTTTTAAATGCTTCAAATGTCGATAGTAAAGTCCTCAAATTGTACTCCACTTTTTCCCCCGTGCAGTTGTCGCAGTCATCATCATCAGCCAAGCATGCGACATAATTGCGCGAGTTAAGGCAGCCCCTCCCCGTCGATCCCCTTGCCAGTTCGCCCACTGCCCCCCATCGGCGGCTGACAGTCAACCCGCTTGAAATCAACCAGCAGCAACAGCAACAACATTTCAGCAATCCATCGGATCGCATCACAATCCAGCCATCCGTCCAACGTGTGGGAAACACACGACAAATCTGTTTCCCACGGTCTCGTAAAGTAGGCACTCACATCCACATCCACATCTACACACAGCCATGGGACCCACAGTCACATTCACACAGGCAGTAGTCGTAGGCTCCCTCGTGTCTCATTGTTGGTGTGAGCGGTACGGAGCAGCGGACTTCGACAGCGAATGGGAGCCGAGCACTGTCATCATTGACAATAAGTATGATATGGGGGGTGAATGGAAGGTGGGGAGGGGGGCGGAGCGGTCTGAGAGACACGCGCAGTCGCTGAGAATGAGATCCAATCCGAAAGCCGACTGCCGACTGCCGACTGCTCAGTTTCCCTCTGGCCATGCAATCAATTGAAGACGACGCGCGCCAGAGCACCAAAGCACAGATACAGATACATTTGTATCTGCGGTGAGGCACGCTCTCACTCGCTCCCACTGCAGGTACCGTGGTTCGAAATTATTGGATTTTAATTAATAATAATATATATAAATAGTAATATTGTCTTTTGTCCAATCATCAGGATTCTGAAATCCTATTAGTTTTTTCAAATAGGAGTTATTTTTTAGCTTTAAGGATCAATAATATTTGTTTATAATATTTCGGTCCACCGTCTACATTTAATGGGTCTTTAACAAACAAGTTCCAGTAGCGAAAACCTACTAAGATTCTGATTTATTTTTCAAAACATTTAATATTATAATTATAAACATACTCATATAGCCTTGACCTTTTTTATAGCATACTTTCTGGAGGTATCTTAAAATTACCAATGAAATATACAAATATATAAATATATATATTTCAATGCACTTATGGATTTTTTATTAAAACTATAGTTGAGCAAATTTAGCAATATATTTTAAAAAATATATATATTTATAATATTCAAGAAATTACATTTTGTTTAACATATATTCCTTAAATTAAATGGCAAACAATAAGTTACGTTTAATATGTTATCCTTACGAACAATTCGTTTTCAAATCAAATTAAAAAGGTGATAATTAAGAGTGCTTCATATATTTTAAAATTTTTGGTGTTGTTGCAAATACCATTTATTTTCACTTTGGTCACGATCAACAGGTGTTAAGTTCAACATCATCCCAAGGATTTTATATTAAAGTGTTGGCTTCGAATTTAAAATTGATATTATTTAAATAACATTTTACAATTTTAAAAACCACTTTTTTTGGATCATTTTTTTTAATCCTCCCAATTTGTGCACAATCCTGGGCCCACGGTTCCTCTGCAGACGGTCCAACCCCCATCGAGGGCCCACAATAGCCTCTCTTTGTGCCGCTGCCGAGCGAGGCTACCGATCCGCGACCGAAAAGAGCCGAAGTGGAACTCGATCTTGGGCCCGAGTGCCTGGGAGCGTGTGTGCGAGCGATCATGCGGGAGCTTTGTGGCTGCGAGAGTGAGATCCCCGGTCCGGGAGAGTCTGGCTGTCATATAAAAGTAGGGCTGGGAACTAGTTTGCCACTCATTTCTCAAAAGTGCCGCCAGTCGAACGCACCGCAACCGGTGGAACGCGCAACGCACGCGCAACAAATTCGTAAAAAAATAAAATCCCATATATGAAACCAACCCAAATCAGAAGTGATAATGTGCAGTTAAGAGACTAAAAGAGAGCAATCCTTGAAAAACCTTTAAGACAAACAATCGATCATGGTCATGGAGATGTCCAAGACGTATCAGTACCGCAAGGTGATGAAGCCGCTGCTGGAGCGCAAGCGGCGGGCCAGGATCAACAAGTGTTTGGACGACCTCAAGGATTTGATGGTCGAGTGCCTGCAGCAGGAGGGCGAGCATGTCACGCGGTTGGAGAAGGCGGATATTCTGGAGCTGACCGTGGATCATATGAGGAAACTCAAGCAGAGGGGTGGTCTCTCCCTGCAGGGAGTGGTTTCGGGTGGTGGTAACAGTCCGCCCACCTCGACGAGTACCGCCCACGTGGAGTCCTTTCGCTCGGGATATGTGCACGCCGCCGATCAGATTACGCAGGTCCTGCTGCAGACCCAGCAAACCGATGAGATTGGCCGCAAGATAATGAAATTCCTATCGACGCGACTAATTGAGCTGCAGACGCAGTTGCTCCAGCAACAACAACAACAGCAGCAGCAGCAACAACCGCAATCTTCGGGTCGCCTGGTATTCCCGCTCCTGGGAGGATATGGACAGGCGGCCGCCGCTGCCGCCATTAGTTACAGCTCCTTCCTGACCAGCAAGGACGAACTGATCGATGTGACATCCGTCGATGGCAACGCATTATCCGAAACGGCGTCGGTCAGCTCGCAGGAGTCCGGCGCCTCGGAGCCCGTCTGGAGGCCCTGGTAATTGGGCCTGACTTTCGATCTTATCCTTAACATTATAATCACAACCCAAAAAATGGCTATTGACCGTTCTGCAACAAGATCCGTTGTCTTCCAAAGTAATTCATAAACGTACCAAGTTAATTGAGGTCGATTCGCTTATCGATTTTGAGATTGGTTTTAAAATACTTTTAGGCTAAGTCCCCACTATGGTAATTTGTAAATTGATTGTTTAATTTCAACTGTGATATAACTAAAGTACGATGATCAATCAATATCAGTGAATATATTTGAGTGCGCTATTATCCTACTCCAAACGATTCCTAAGTTCATTAGTTCGTTGCGCTCTCTTCATTGTTTAGCCTATATTAAGCTTTAAATAATTTATAAATGTTAATTTATGGTTAGTTGAGAACGAGAAATCAAAAATAGACTACATAAATAAAATAAATCAATAAAATTGCAAAAGTAAACACTTGTATTGTTAATTGGTTGGGGATGGGGTTTTTTTTTTCAAATTTCAGAGATCAAAAAGTATGTGTATTCCGTACAGAAAGTTTAAAATAAATCTATAAAATTGTAAAAGCAAACACTTACTATTTTTTATTGGTTGGGGATTTTATTTGTATTTCAGAGTTTCCTAAGGATGTGTTATTTTCATTATTTTTTCGACAAAACGGCACATACAAAATTGTATCTTAACTTTTCAAAATGTGTTATTTCTTTTAATATAAATTTTCAAAATGTTATTAGGTTTTTTTGAAAACAGATACATGATGAAAATAAACCTATCTTATTACGTAATAATCAAATGAAACGGTTTCCCATTGACCCAAGCAATCCATTTTGTTTGCTGCTCCAATAAATTACCCTTTAATTGGCGTGATGATGCTTCAGCCTTGATGTATGCAATACATTGCCGACTTGGCTCTGATTCATTCACATAAGCAGTTCTTCTAATTGGATCCCGTTTTTCACCCGATCTGATCGGCAATCATCAGATCCTCTCTACCTGCCCGAAACTGGTTGGAATTGCAGCCAAAATCAACAGGCCAAACAACCCCCGACGATCTTCACTACCTGCTGGCAGGTAAATTGATCAACAATAAGACCAAAAAAGGTTCAGGATCGAATCGGATTAGGGTCCGATCGTTTTTCAAATGAGTCATGCCAATTAACAAAGGATTTCGCTCCCTATTTATTTTCTGTGTTGATTTGTAAACGGAAAATTGTTGGAACAAAGGAGTTCAACATTTTTTGTTGTACAAAATGTAACACAATTTGTTGTGTGATTTTAATTTTGTTGTTCTGAAAAATATGGTAGTAAAAATGGGAATAAAAACAAAGGTAGTTTCTTTTAAATTGTATATATATTTTGATTTTTTGTAAATGTTAAGTAAATGTATCACAATTTTTGTAAAGCTCTTCAGTTGAGTTGATCGGCTTGCATGTTCATTTTTGTGGAATGGTGTCAAAAATTAACGGAAGACGTTGATTAAAGCTGGAGATTCCATGGAAGACATAGTTGCTGGATGATGGATGCTGGAAGCTGATTAGGCCTGAACCCAACGATCCTGGGGGATGGCGATCTCGTTGGAGGTGCTGCAGTAGAGGGGCTCGATGAGGTCGTTATCGGCTGGCAGATCGGAGACGGCGGTCCAGAAGAAGGTGCCATGGGCGGTGCGGACGAAGTGAACTGGGACGGTGGGCAGTTGCTCGAACTCGTAGTCCTCAATCTCGCAGGAGTGGGAGAGACGCTCGTTGGCCTCGTTTTCGCAGGACTCCAGAGAGGCGCAAATGGAGGCGGACTCGAGATCGGCATTGCGGCTGTTCTCAATGGATTCCAGAGACTCCAAGGAGTTGGCCTTCAGTGTGTTCTTAAGGTTTTGCTCCTCCTCGACGCGCTGCTGCTGCTTGAAGATCTTCTGCAGCAGTTTCTTGACGCTGTAGGACAGCTTCTTGTTCGACTTGATGGTCATGGTGTTGGTGTTGCTCTTGTTCTGGCACATGATGATGTGTTTTGAAAAATTTCGTTTGCTGATGTGTAGCTGAGATGTGTACTGTACGAAGCGTTGAGCTCGAATGATGTCTGATCCTCTGGCAGAGCGTCCTTTTATACCCGCCAGGACGTGGAGAAACCCAAAGCCGAGCAGGTCACAAAACACCGAGTGTGGGAAACTACAAGGATACGTGTCCCGAAAAATCCTATACAGTGTGCGGATACCCGGCGAGGCAACAACAAAAACGGCAGGTGTGTTTTTCGAAAAGGGACTGCATCGGCATTAACCTGCGTGCGTCGGAGTGTGACGGCATGTTGTGCCGTACTCCTCGCACCTGTTGGAGGTGCGGGCAATTTTATCCTGCTGCAGGATCGTGAGAAACGAGACTTTCTACCAGTTCCCACAGTCTCGCTTCGAAAGGATCCTTTTTGAAAAGGAGATTCGTTTTTTTCCCTTTTTCTGCCGATCACTTTTGGTTTTTATGTGCACTTATCTTATTAAGTAGGCAGTGCGAGCGGGATGGGTATATGATGGAGCCGAGGGGCGGGGGAAATCCCTTTTCCATTTTTCGAACACGTGTGCAGCTCGAGAACGTGGGAGAATATTTTCAATTTTCAACGCTCGAACGGAGGCAAACAATTAATGCCCAAAAACCAGAAGATCGTATAGTTCAATAGGCAAACAATCCGGAGTATTCGGAGGGGTAGGGGGTACCCAGATGAGGGACCGAGGATCCTGAACTGTAGGCATTTAATGCGCTGTAATTTGAAATTTATCAAATTGTATGTGGAGGCGAGGCGTTGCCCAAAAAAAGAGAGATGGAGACGGAGGACAAGGATCGTCGACGAAGGAGTTGCTTTTAATTTCTGTTGCTGATGGCACACAATTAGCAGGGGACCGATTCTTATTATGATGTGTAAAAAAAAATGTAAGAGAAGGAGGAGCAGGATCACGAGGACATCGTTGGAGGAGCACACGCACAGCGAGCGCCTGTCCTTTTTTTGTGCGGTTCCTTGTGTTTTTTGTGGATCGTTGATGGCGCGTGAGGCGCTGAAGCCAAGGTTTCCCAGGATTTCTTTCTGTTTTATGTTTTTGAGCTCCCTTTGGGTATCTCTGGCGTACTTAATGGATTGTCCCTTGACTTAACCATAAATATTTGGAACCCGGTGTGAGTTGGGACAAATTAACCAGGAATCTTCGGTGAGAAGTTGTAGGCTGGCGTTAACAGTTCGTCCTGGATCTCAGATCTATTGAACTGCTGTAGAGGTGATGATTATATGGTTGGCTTTGTTGGCTAGGTGGGTGTGGTTACAAATCGATGAGTCCATTTCAAAGGTTGGGGTCATTGGTAAAGGTATCCTATGGATTGATTTTTGGGTACGCTTTTTAATCGAAGAAATTAGAGTCCCAATTAACGGTCCCAATTTTATATCAACATATTTTTTTTTAATTTCTTATGTAAAGGGCAAAGATAATTTTCACTGACTTACCACCCCCTTTGTTAGAATGTTATTAGTCCTTATACTGCAAAGTTAAACAAAATGTTTATAATAAATTACATAAAGATACTTTCTCTATATAACACGTTTACTCATTTATAATTTAGCGAATAATAGAGATGCCTGTATCAAAATTATTAAATAAATATTAATAATATAATTTATATTATGGTAAAACCATAACTAATTATCGACTGATAAAAGTTGTCAATTAAATAAGCACTACTTTTATTGTGGAAAATTCAATTATTTTGAATTCGTTGTCCTACTAGTTTCCAACGAGATCCCAAGGTTTATATAATGTTTCCAAAGTCTCGATTAAGTCATTTAAAGAAGACAATAAGGTACCAAAACCAATAGAAAATTGCACCAAATTTCGGATTAAGAGGCAACACCATTTCTATAAAGTCCGACCTCTTATTAGGGTACAAAATATGTTTGATTGAGAGACAGAATATTTCTATAAAATCCCCTGAGTTTTATCTCAACAAAAGCTGCCTTCAATCATTTCAATATCCTTTGCTGGATCAACAGTCCCAAATTATTGAATTACTTCTTGGAAACTGACCTTTATGGCATTGGACGTTCCAACCAGTTCCTAGTATCGCTTTTGGTTGACTCATGCTACCGCATTATTCGGCCTTATTATGCACGGATTGTGTCGATCTAATTGTGTTTTTGGTCCTTTATTTTTTCGGTTGACTCATTGCCCCCAGCTTTCCTTCTGATGGATATTTTTTGTGTTCGTTATTTTTTCTGCATTTTATTGTGTGCCCACGTGCAGGCCCAAAACAAATAAAAATAGTTAACTATTTGGATGGGAAACCAAAGCCCTGCTGGGGGTCTCAAAAAAATTTGGCTGCCCCTGCAGTGGTTTTTTTCGGGGGTTTTTGGTGACTACTGTGGTGCCTTTTTTCCTCTTCACTTTTCTATCTTCCAGGGAAATCTTTGGCCGAACACGTGCACTGATTTCTTATCGCAGGCCGATCATTTAAGGTTCCAAAACTGTAGATTAGCCCAACGCACACAAAGAGGAGAAAGAGGAAAAATAAAAATAAAATCAACCTGACCCTGGCAGTCCATTGTCTCCCAGCCAAATGTTCAAAGGGGGGTGGGAACGATCGTGTTTGTACACGTGACGACCTCGTTTCGCTCGCAGCAGGGTGTTACGGTCGAAACTGCGGCCCCGTCACGTCACGTCCCTCGATCCATACACCTAGCCATCTATCTGAAGACCAACTATTTATCTACCCATAATGCCACAACGTGAGCAACTTGCAAACGTGAAAATTTCACACATGTGCGATCGATTGGCAGCGGGAAAAGCCCACCGATCATTGAGGTCTTCCCTCCCTACGAACTCCGCAGGTCCAGTTACACCGGACAGGACTTGCCACACCCACAGGACCTTCCACACCCTCGCGGACCAGAAGATGTGCTAACTGGCCGAATCTGTTACGGTATTTCCGTTTACATTTTCCGTGGTCAGCAGCGTGAACATCAAACGAGGCGTGCGAAAAATTCCGTTGAACGTAAAACGATCTGCACTTGAGCTACATCGACGGGATGAGATACAAAGATATAGTCCCATGTGTACAACACTTAGCATAACAATAACAAGGAATCTGTAAATATATTCCAAGCCTTCAAACCAACACGAATTTAAGATGACCTTTAAAAAATACAGAGGAAGAAAGATAGGTTTTGAAAAAAAATTTTATCACCATTGACTTAAATTAGTCAACGATTCAGAAACATAAAATGATTTTTTTAAAGTATTTTTTTTTTTTAATTTATTATAAATGTGAAAGAATTTAAAATTCATATTAGTTTTGAACCAATGGAATGATCCAAAGTCTTTAGCAACCATTAGTCACATTCTTTGAATCAATATAGAGGGTATTACCCATACTTATTTACGAATATGATCTGGTGGACCTACGTGGCGGTTTCTTTGGTTTTGTAATGATAAAA